ATTCATGGTGTGAATGATTTAATTTCAAGATTTTTTAAAATAAGTCAATAAGAACCATGTTATATTACAGTCAATTTAGTTGTATTTTTTCACATAATATTCATCTCTTTATGATCAGATCATTATTTTCTAAAATTTTATTGGACACTTCAGGTTGAATTTGAATCTATACACTTCCTGTTTAAATATGGCACTGCTCTTGAATCTGCTGGTTTGCAGTATTGTAATGGCTAGTGCCTAGGAATTACATACCTCTGCCCTTACTTGGTATGTTATTGAAGAGGAGAACAGCAGGTTTGAAGTATCTCTGTTCACAGTATATTCAGTGGCTTGTATCGCCAGGTTCCAACAATAATACATAATGACCATAACCATTAAACAGCAGAATGTGAAACTATTCTTTGACATCCTTTCCCATTGATGTACCTTTTTGTTGAAGTTTTCATGCATGCAGGTCAAGTGAACTACAACAGTTGTTTGCTTTCCTTCTGTTGCTATGGTATTTCAAAATCACTTCATTACATGTTCAGTTATGGTATGCAGTACCAGAAAATGTCATTGGAAATTTAGTTTTATTTGAGATTGTTTCTCATGAGGGGTGAAGATGGTCACTTGTGACCTGGGTTGTAATGCCATATAGAAATGTCTGTCGTGAAAAAGGAAGTGATATGTTCCTCAAAAATGTTTGTTACAAAACTACATGGTGTCAACCCAGAGGACCACAGTAGACTGTATATGCCTGAAATTGTAATTACTCATGTGCCACAGGGCAATCCACAACATTATCATACATGATACATAATTTTAATTCCACAGCTACCAACCCATGCATCTGAGTCTAAGAAAGTACCTGCTTGTATTGAACCTAAGATTTTGCAACACACGTTTGAATACTGTTTTATGGGAATCACACATTTTAGAGTTTTGCATGGAAGAGAAAAGAAGTGACGCGAGTATTCAGGATTATCTTGCTATAAATGTCCTCTCAATTTTGGGACATTTTAAAATTTTGAAAAACAATCACTGAATTCTGTAATTGGGCCTACTTGTTTGTTCGACTATTTTATACTCAATTTAATTAATGTTACTTGTATTATCTTCAACTTACGGATACGTTTTCTAGATATCACATCTGTGGTGCTCACGGCGGCGAAGAAAGTTTTTAGTTGTTAATTCTTATTTTGACACTGTTAACCCCCACATAACCGAACAGTGGAATGCATACAATAACCCTGACGAGGTGCACGACAAAGGTCATAAGATGTCAGTATTGTGCGTTCCATTTGTTCTGATTTCAATTTAGGTATAAATATTTGATAATGGTTAAAGAACTTGTTTGTGCTACGTTGACATATCATGTTCCGCCACAGTTTGGAATAACAATATTTATAGTTCGTTCGACTAGGGAGGGGATGGATATTGATGCAGCAGCATTTACTGCATTGATTGCGTGTCCTTGTTTACGTGCTGCATTTGGCAACAACGTGCTGGTACCCATGTGACACGGAGGAAACGTGACAGGCAGGGTGACGCTTGTGTTGCGGTCGCGTTCTCGTGGGTTGCAAAACCGTTGGGTCGGTAGGTAAAGACACTGCATAATATTTTAACAGTTTGGAAAATTACGTTATTGAAACATGAGTAAAATGTTTATTTGACAATTAAAAGCGGACCGGGATGCTAAGCTCACGACCTATAAGACGAACACGCCCTGTCCGAGTTACGTCACATAGTGCTCCCTGATTGGACAGTTAGTAGACCCCAGACACGTGAACCGAGTAGCAGCAAGCATGGCAGTTGATGCGCAGTGGTTTCCAGTTTTTTTGTAAGTGTCTTGATCGATCATTTTTAATAAGTTTTTTACCTGAGAAGTGGCGGATACGTGTGCGTCATTATTGTATTTGTGGATTAACACATTTTGGAGAAATCTTGAGCTTTGGTTCGGTCGGTATATTATAATTCTTGGGAAGTACTGTGAGGGTTTCAGTGGCTGCGTGGCGTGTTGGCGGTCCATAATTGCTTGGCCAATCGTTGCAAACATCCTTTTGTGACGTAACAGGCCTGGCGACTATTCATTGGCAGTTGTCGTTGGCAACCCAAACACTCACGTCACTCACGGCCGGGGCCGGGGCTGGCAGTGGCTGCTAGGTCCATGCTGCAGCCCTGTCTGCTGTGTTTATTTTACATTCCCAGTAACATCTGAATTTTAGTGTGTGCTAATAATGGAGGCGTAAGCTCAGACGGCGGGAGGGCGAGTTCCAGAAGAACAATGAGTCTGGAGACGCTTCTGGAAGCGGCGCGGTACGTGGAGCTGCAAGAGGCCCAGCGGCTACATCAGTCGTCGTCCTCAGTGACTTCTCTGGCACGTGGTGAAGGTATGTTTAGTGTTGCAATAATTACTTTGATATATTTATTTCAGTTATGAGATGTAAGGAATATCTGTTATTTACTTTTGCGAGTGCATACACTATCTCTATAACATTTGCTACACCAGTTGTTAGATTCTACAGGGATACACAGTGTGTGTCTCATTCAAAGTACTGCCGCTTTATTCTTTGACACTGTTGTATGTCCGGATGACGGCATGTTGAGACGTGCCTTATCGATTACCGTAATAGGGCTCGAAAGGTACCGGCCCTGCCATGGGCATAATGGCCAGATGCGCAGGAAACGTTTTCAGCTTTGTGATTGTAACCTTAAACTAATCATGTAACCCATCTGGGTTGTATCAGACGCAAAAGTGAATGCGTTCTGGAAATACTGGAGAGGAAAAATAATGGAAAATGATGTCACCATTTGAAAAAGGTCATTGGCTTGTACCACAACCGTGCGTAGTTTTTATGATGCCTCGGTGTGGCAAGAAGTTAAGTGACAGTGTGCATTATAAGTAAATTTAAACATTCCTGTTACATACGGTGTTCCTGTTTAGAGACAAGTTGGTACAGGCCTATAATTATGCATGCGGTGAGGTGTCGCCCTAAAGTGAGCATCTTATCAAAGAATCCCATGTTACCAATTTTAATTATGGTGACATGTACAAGTTTATTGTACGGTCGATAGATGGAACTGCAATGTGATTAATGATTCTTTTGTACTCTGTTAATAGATGGCAGTTGGTGTGAGTTTGTGTACTCCAAATTCAATATTTTGGTTGTGCAACGTTTCGTATTCAGAGCATCGTAGGGTTATATTGGCATGAACTTATCCTGTATTTCGAATTCCGCAATTTTGTAACGCTGTAGTTTGCTTAATTTTTGCCTGGGATGTCATGTTCTCGAAAAGTACTGTATTATACAAAAAACCCTTATTTGTATTTGACTTGAGGGTATCTCCTACAAGGCTAGCAGGTGCTGTTCGCTGGGTGGTTAAAGTTCTGACTTCTAGAGCTGAATCGATCACATTGGTTAGTAACTGAACTACCTCACCACCACGTGTGCCGGAAGTATGTGTCAGTCCCCTTTAGTAAACCAACCGTGAGCAAAGGTAGAATGTATTTGTAATATTTCTTACGTACAAATCTGCAGTTATGTCCACTGGTAGTCAAGGCCCACAAATCATGGATTGCAATTTTGTCAGCGATCGTAGTATATCGTGCTGCTGTGTTTCCAGAAATCGTTGAATACTGATTTGCTAGAGTCCAAGGCACTTTCCAGATCAACTTCGTTTTTAACCCAAGTTCTATTCTTAAGGAAAAAACAATACATGTATGTGTTTGCCATCAGAGTGTGGCTTCCCCCAAACGTCGTCACCATAGACTTAATTTATTTTTTTTATGAATGCTGCACCAGTGGAGGCCACTTCAGCCTCCTACATTTTAATTTCATGTTGACAATAGCACGGTGGGCGCGCGAAGTTGTGAGGTGGGTGCCACTAGCCCCATTATTTGGATCCTAAAATAATTTGTGGTAATAGGCATTGAAAAAATGCGAAACTTTGTTAGAAATTTTTTTTAAATTGGTATGGAGGTGGATCATATGTCAATTAAAGACATGACTGAAGTTACATCTAACAGGTTTAATGTGTTTTCTTCTTTACAGAATCAGTACTTTAGTAAAGAAGTTTGCTCAAATATAAAATAATAATGCAATGTATTTGCAGTTGCAAGAAATAACAAGAATGTGATAGTTGATCCTACGACTATCAGCACTTGAAACCAGTACCCTAACCCATCATTCAGAGCAGGCCTATATTCTACAGAGTATCCACACGTCGACCCACGTGTACAACTATTGACCCAAAGAAGGATGTCCAAAAAGGAATAGAATGAAGAGGCAGAGTAACAAATTTATCGATGACCGTCTGGAAATAACCTCCACTAGACGTTAATATGGAGACTACCTCTTTCGATATCTTGTCACCTGTGGAATCTGTGAACCCCAGATCCCATCTTTGGGCCCGTTTACTTGGCCGCGAAAGTGGAAAACAAACCCCTTTTTTTTATAGGAAGGGGTACTTAATTGTATAGATGCGAGCCTTCTGCAGTTTTGGCGTTCATAAGCCCGGGCGTATTGTAGCCTGCAAATGCAGGCATTTGGAAAGGATATATATGGTGCTTTTTAGGAGGGGGGCGGGGAGTTCGCGTGGCACGATTAAACGAAATCGGTAGTAACGGTAAAAAAATGTATGTACCTAATTCCGGCTACACACGTACAGGTATGACTGAACAGACGCTCGTCTCAAGTATACCTCAACGTGTGGATGCACTAGAGCATGAGGTATACCTGTACGTGTGTAGCCGGCTTTAAGCATGATGCATGAAAGCCCATGTTTGAGAAGTATTTGAACGAAGTTTGCTTCAATGCTCTTACGTATCAAGTTTTCTACATTATTTATCCGGTTACATACATATCAGTTTTTAACATAAATCTGAAGAAAATCTTGAATTCATACCAGCAGTTATGTTCATTGCAGTTAAATGGGGCCATGGTCACCGATCCACGTGGCTATAACTTTCACCACTTTACAGCTGCATGATGTATATTTCCATAACAGTCATAATCGCAGCCCTGATCAGTGGCTCTTATGTGACTGACCAGTCAAGACGTCGAGGGGAGCGGGGTTTAATGAGTACACCTTCATTAGCGATCGTCAGTGTTTGATGCACAGCATCTGGCAACATTGTGTGACCCGAGGGGGGGGGGGCATTGTGGGCGGAGCGTTGCCAGTCTGTTGTGCCAAGAGTAATACTCAGGACGGATATGTAGTACAATGGGTGTGCTAGTCGACCAGCAAGTTTATGGTGTCAGGATAATGCCACCTCCCAAGAAGAAATGGATACATCATTACTTACTGGGTAAGCGAAAACCATGTATTCACACGAGAGGTACATTTTCGCAGGATAGGCCGTGTTGCTAACATTATTATTGCATAGGAAGGCTCGCTTTATTAAGAAAGGCATTCTATTTTTGGGTCAAGGGTATTGAGTTTTTTAGAAGTACGCATGCGCGAACCCGCCTACGGCGTGACCTGGCTGTCACGTGGCGCTTGGTGACCCTCGTTGAATGTCAGGGCCACGGTTGTTATCGATCAGGACTTTGGCCTCTGTCTCAGCCGTGTGATTGTTGGCTTGCAGAGGAAGAACCTGCCCCCGGCGGGTTTCTGTCGTTCACCGCAGCAGCGCCGCCTCCACCCCCTCCTGCTGTCACTTCAGAACATCAACCGCCGCCGCCACTACCGCCCACCAGACCCGCCCACAACCAACAAGTCTCCAATGGGGGCCCCGCCCCCCATCTGCCGCTGGACCAGCCGGATGATTCCAAGGAATTCCAGAAGCGAGCGTGAGTTGCACTAATCACGTTGATATTTGTAGTTGTTGATGGAGTGGGATGTGTGGTACATGGCTGTGTCTTGCTGCAGGGCTGGCACACGCGAGGTGCACAACAAACTTGAAAAGAATCGCCGGGCGCATCTAAAGGAATGCTTCGAGCTCTTGAAACGGCAGTTGCCAGCCTCACAGGATGAGAAGAAGTCTTCCAATCTCAGTATCCTGCACAGTGCCCTGCGACACATTCAGGTACCCCTTGTTTTAGACAAGGCCAAGGGAGCGTGTGAGTCCACGTGCCATAGAAAGCACGTGGCCGACAGGTGGCGCGGTGTTGCCATATTGCCTGGGTTTCCTTTGTAGTGCTCTGGCCTTGTGGGGGATGGAGGTTCTGATTCCGTAATGATACCAAGGCTGATTGTTGAAAGTATACAAGTAAACATGCTGACTTTTTACAACCGTAGATCATATGATTGAGTCATTAGTATTTTACTGTTTTTAACTTGACATGAGCTCCACATTTATGATAACCATAAAAGGGCAAAATTCCATAAACCTTTTTTATGATAAGTATGCTTATTCCCAGGATACCTTATGTATTGTGAATGAAAATGTAAGGCGACCATTTTATTTTATTTATTTATTGTCAAATCAGGATATTTTGGTACTTATGTATTCTTCAATCAGATTTCCTATGAATGATCATGAATTATTACTTAATTGTAGAAGTAACACCAATCGAACATTACTACCTTTCAGTCATTGCAATCCTAAGAAGGAATATCAGTCTTGACCTTCGTATGAAGGAAAGTCATGACAGTAAGACAAGAACTTATTTCTTGGTATCAACCTCTTGAACCAAGACATGAACTTAAATCATTAAACAGATTTAGAATGTGCAAATTTTAAATAAAATTCACAACTGACAATTAATGAACTGATATTAGAGAAGTTATCAAAAAATTTGTCCCAATTTGGTCTTTAGAATGGTTTTGGAATTGCTGGTTTAGAATGGTGGGAAACAAAACTAGTACTATTTTGTTAGATACTATCGTTAACATTTTGATATTCCCACTTTGATTATTAGTTGCAATTTCTAATTTACATTTTATTTATATAAGGTGAAACAAGTGGTCATGTTTGTGCATTGGTAGTTCTTGCGGCGGAGGGAGCGGGAATTCGAGCACGAGATGGAGCGATTGGCACGAGAGAAGATTGCTGCACAACAGAGGCTAGTGATGCTCAAGAAGGAGCTGTCGGCTCAGTGGGACCACATCGACTTCAACGCGCTCCTGCCAGAAAGTGTGCATGTGCTTGAAGATCCGCGCAACAAGGATCACGTGTCTCATACTACTTCTACTGCCACAGAGAGGGACGAAGTGATGAGCGATGCAGAGGAGCCACTTAACAAGTGTGGTGTGGTGTATAGCAGCACGTCGTCCCTGTCCAGTGCTGCCACTGCCTGCTCACCACCTCAACTACCTCCCCCTCCACCACCTCCACCTCCAGGACCTACAGAATTGCGTGGAGGAGAGGATCCCAAGTCTCTACCTCCCACGTCCGTGGTGCAGCTGCCTGTGACTGCGCATGTGAGTTCATTAAACGTTTGATTCCTCTCGTATCTCATGTGTTGGGGCATGCTACAGTGATGGCTGATGTGTTGACAGATGGTGGGGACTACGGGTCTAGCAACGCTGGTTAGTCCCACCATCCAACTGCTAGCTCCATCAGGACTACGCATGTTGCCAGGCGACCCGCAGCCACTGGCGCTGACTGTGCACCCGCCACATCTCCCCAACACAAGTAAGAAATTAATAGAGTTGCAGGTGTGATACAGTAAGAAGTTCTTGGGCCACTCATTAACACAATTAGCCCTACGCCGTAATAATTTTGCCATTCTTGTCTTTCGTTTAAATACAAATGTTGGTATTTTTATAAAGCTCATATTATCGTCAGTAAAAATTGGCTCGATGCATTAAAAATATACTAATTGCCTTCTCTGTCTATCATGGTCTGGGGTTTGTCTTCGTCTTACTTTCATACGTTCCAGTATTGCATGCTGCATGTTCCCTGACACCATAGAAACCCTAGGACATAGAATGGCAGGTTAGAAAAAGAATATTAATCTCAGCTTAAATTAATAATGTAGTAATAAAGGTTATCATAATTTCCTCTTAGAGTGTTTGGTATGTGAAACACATCATAACACACGTTTAGACCGTGAATCACACGGTGTGTTTAAGAAAAAATATTTTTGATTATTCATAATTGTATTTATGTATCTAATTTAGTTACAGGCACCATTTTGTAGAGGTCTGTACCAATTTTTTTATAACGTGCATTACATGTGTCCATCTTTAGTAATACAGCGGACGTCCTGCTAGATCCTACGTAGCATATCCACAGCCGTTGATGCTGCAATTTGTTTTAGTTTAGGAAGTGTTGCTAGCAGTGGTTGAATGCAGACATGCCCCTCGAAGAAAAAGTCTAATTGGGTAAGGTTAGGAGATGTCTGAGGCACGGACTGGTTCATTGGTTGTCCATATGGCCAGGCAGGAGTTTGTGTAGGGGCATTATCCTGTTGAAGTCCTGCAGGATATACAGAAGCAGTTGTGCTCATAATCAGATCTCCAGCATATCCAGATATGTTATTCTGGTGGTGATATCCTCTGCAAAGAATGGTCCATAGACCTTCCACTTTAACTCTGCAGGGATCACATTCGCTGTCGGAAAGTCTCGCCGTGGCTTGGCGGGATGCGTCAGGTTTTCCAAGACCCAGATGCGACGATTATGCTTAAATGTGCTGGAAGGTCATTTTGTTTCTAAACACCGGCTTATGCTCAAGTTTCATAATTTCTAGCATTTCCAGAAAATATGTGCAGGAAGATGAACAAACTCGGATGTCATTGTCACTGAGATCTTAAAGCATCTGCAGTCTTTAGGGCTTCATATACAAACGTATTTTTAGAATCCACCGTGCAGTTTTGGATGGAATATCCGCTTCTTGACTGGCACAGCATGTGGACTTCAAGATGCATACAAAATCTTACCACACGTTTGTGCCATCATGCCTCATGGCCACCCCATTCCCCCTTTTATTCAGGCATTATTCTGCGGATTTGGGTACCACTGCTTGCTGAACTTTTAAGATGTGGGTTCTTTCCAAATTGCATTCTGTTACTGGAGGAAGAACTAATGGATGCTTCAGTAGTAAACTTTGTACTTGTCTTGTCCATGTGATATTTGATTCATCAGGACTACCAAGCAAGCTTTAGAGATGTAAATATTTGTGATCAGGCCCCATATAACCAGGTCCAAAATAAGGTTTGAGGCATTTATGACAACTGAAAGTTATAAAATCCTCTGGGATAATTAGCTATGTCATTTAACAGTAAAGAGATCATCTCTTGTCTCTATCATCATGGAATGATGGTATCATACTCTGATGCTGGAGACAGAGGTCACTGAAGTGAAACCAGCGTTATGAACGTGCTTGTGTTACAGGCAGGTTTGGGTTGTTGTACTCCATTTTTTAAATTACGTATTCTTTCTTTGTGGTTTTGCATCAACAAATACAGATGTATTTTTAACTTATGAGCATTAAAGAATGCTGTGCTGCACGTAGTCAGATTCTGCTGTTAGCAAAACTACTCAACAGCGCAGGTTTTTAACTTCATAATGTATTTTATTTCATGTCACATTTTGTGATATTCCATTAAAAAAAATGACAAGAGTTCAAGTTGTGTTTCATGTAAAGTAGAGATTATATTAGACCAATAGTAGTAAAATAAAGATAAATTTGTCCCTGTGCCTAAGCCCCATACCATTTTACCATGCAGGGAACATGCATGTAAAGCACCACACAATTCGTAATTCTAGACTCCATCACTTGATGGGTGATGAGTGGTCAGCTTAATGTTCTCATCACCAACCACTAGAAAGAGCCTCTGGTAGCCATTATGTATAAGGCTGGGCAGGCCTCAGAAGTGGTCTGACAACGTTGTGAAGAGAAAAATGCCAGTCCTTTCCAGGAATCAGGTGCATCTCTCTTCGTATTATCCAGTCACTTTATTGAGTATGCTCTCCTTAATGCTTTCAGGTATCTTCTCAGACTACGTCATCTAGGTTATATCTGCAGTATATCAGAAAATTAGCCTTTTATTTTATGATGTAACTGTTTGTGTTTTAACACAGTGTTTCTCAATTTACACTGCAAACATTTGTTGAATGAAAATATAATTTTCCATTCCTCTGCTGCATGGTACTCTATATAAATTACATAAACAAATGTACAATTTCTAGCTGTTAATAAGTTTGTGGGGAAAATCACACTTTCTGTTGATTAAAACAAAAATGTAACGATGGTTTGAAACAAAGGAAGCGCTGGGGATTTTTTAATTTCAACTGTCATTTGCGCTGTAATGTGATTGACATTCCCTACCAAAACTGTTTTGGTGATCTTAAAAGTGTTACTATTGAAAAACATGTCAGTCAGTTCCCTTTTTGTGCTTTCCTTTCTAGATGTTGCCCATTCACCTGCTTCTGCGGTGGTGTCCCACCCGCGATTGCGGGGTATGAGTGGCAGTGAATCAGATACCAGGACAACTGCTGCCATCACCTTACCAACATTGCACTTACCAAACAAAATGGTGGCCGGCAGTGTGGCTCTTGCAGCAGAGGCTGCACGACTTCCAGGTGGGGCAGAACTCAATATTCTGCCAGCCAACGGGGCGGTGCGGGCTACTACCTCAGGCAAACATCACCCCATAACCCTTTCTGGAGGTTTGTGTTGTCTACAAAATAATACATGTGCGTCGGAAGTAACATTTTTATTGTTGAGATTCTATGGCTGGTGTCTAATGCACAAGATCAGTTTTCATGGCTCAAACTCTAAAGCAGTTGTTGTTACTAGGAGCAATATTGTTTTTTGATGAAGCCACTGCTTGATCACTATAAACAAATATTGTGATGTATTAATTTAAATTTATTTGTTCAAAGTTTAAGCACTCAGCTGTGATATAGAGACTACTTTATTTACAAAGACTGTACTCACCGCTGTGAGAACCTGAAATCTATTTTGTTCACCATTTTCAGTGATATATCCATCTGAATGAGGTATCAGGTTGACACTCTTTTATTTGCATCATAGGAAATTGAATTATACACAGAAATTAAGTAATTAGCAGTCATGTGTTGAAAGCTTGGCCATGCAAATTATTGGTACATAAAACATAATTAAATCAAGTGGAATTTTTAATAGTAAGCATCTGTATATATAATGTTCGTCTCAGTATCACAGGAAATCTACTGTGTGGATGATGTTCATTCCAGGTTTCATGACAAGTTTCCTGTTGGATTAAAAATTATAAGTAAGGGAAAGAACATGGATGTGATAATACCATGTTCCTCTAGCATGACCAGCATTCCACATCTCTGGCACAGTGGCATCTGGTCTCACACCAGTATTTGTAGGGTCTCATCAAAGATCTTCTGTTTGGTTAACAGAATTTGGGATGGAATTCTTGAGTAGGGCAGAGCGTCGGTTTTCCAGCCGGCTCTGTAATTCTATATAAATTCTGAGAGTGTGTGTTTAATTTATGAACCTATCTTGTGTTACGGAGACTAAAATAAATTATTTAGGTTTTTTTGCATAACATAAGGGTGTTAAGTAATTGAAACTTTATTATTCTTCACTCTTACTTCCCTTTTTATTTTAGGTTTGACGCTTCCAAATGGTGTGCTGGGTCATGCAGGAGTTACACTTGCCACCAAGTCAATTGCTCACACTGCTTGTTCTGGTAAGAATTGTTTACTGAAAGAGAAGACTGTCTGCTGTCCGAAATGAGGACATCTGTGTCATTTTGGTTCATAGTTATTTTAACATCATTATTTCTAACCCCTTTGGTTATTCCAGGATGTCTGTCCATGCACACAGTTTGCATAGATGAACAGCGGCATGAAGATGGACTAATATGTCTAAAACATGCCACCTAGCTAAATAAACATTAAGATGTGGTATATGAGTGCATAGATTTGCAAATATTGTTTGTGGAGATAATTATTTAGTAATGATAAGGAATGTAATGACAAAAACTTTGTTTTTAAAATTGTGCTTCAGAGGGTTGAAGATAAAGTTGCATTGATGACGCACTGTTCTGATGTGTTGACTTACGTTCTTTTTCAGAAGCAAGTGGTACTGTGCTGACACCTGCTATTCATGGAGCTGGGACTATCCCTACGCACCTGACTTCAGCAGGTATGATCAACTCTTTGAAGCTGGAGCTCGTGTAATAATATTTAAGAACTCTGTCCATACTGCAAAGAAAATATGCTTCACCATTGCTTAGATCAGCTGGTTAATGCTCTTGAAGAAAATAATCCCTATTTTCAGTAAGAATCTGAGGCAGTACATAAATACAAAATAAAGTTACTGATTACTGAAACAGGTGGCTCATAGTTTCCACTGGGCTTTAAACGATTAGTTGAAGAACAATTTTTCTTTCTTTCAAAATGATGAGCTAAATAGAAGATGAACACTTGCTGTAATAACAATTTACCGGTTCCTTGCTTTGGTAATTTTCGATGAAGTGAAAACTAATGTCATGAAATAAATGTACCTTCTTATCACCATGAAGGTATATAGGTGGAGCACAAGAAATTTCTTGCATTTTAGGTGACTATAGGGATATTTGGGGAACCTTTAGAAAAAAAATGCATGAAGCTGTTTAGATGAACAAGACATATACCTATACATTTTTTATTTGCTGCATGTATCAGAAACCCTTCTCATTTTTTAAAAGGAGTGAAAGCTCCCAATTGTGTGGGAAATACGTATTTCCTCTCATAACTTCCTACATGTAATTTTGAGAAAGAAAAGTAGTTACTTTAATTTTCTCATACAGAATTTTTCCACCTGTTTGGCAGGTATCACACATGTGGTGACACCGCTAGGTAGCCACACAAGTTTGACCCCCCTGGTGACTCCAGTGACTGTTGTTTCACAGGGAAATCAGGTAGCTCATATTCTTGCTACTCCTCAGCAGCTTGGAGGCAAGGTATGTGCAAGAGACTTATTTATGCATACATTCCCCTGCAGTTCACTTTTATAAAGATTAAAAATTTGATTTCTCTATCAAATTTTAACCAGTTCTGTGAACCTTAATCTGGTGTATGGACATAATTGTACTTTCTCAGACTTCTCTTTAACTTACAGGTAGACTGATTTATATTTGTTTAGTTTTAGGACATTCTTCGTAGACTACTATATTTGATAATTCTGTAAAATGTATTTGAGATTGCATTTTCTTAATGTTTTATTAGAACTGTATAAATATGAAGGTTTTGATGTGTGGCAAGAAACATACGTCATAAGCTTAATAAAATGAATGAGGTAAATTACATTATTTATATTGTTTGGACAGTGACTGCTACAGATATGTTACTAGAGGAATGCTCTGTTGCAGATGATGACTACCACATCCCTTCTCAAGTCAGTGGGTCCAATGCCATTAATGAACACTCAGTACCTGAGCACAGCCACACTGGTGAAACCAGTTGTTGTCGTGAGCACACCTTCCACGCTCCCACCACACTCCAACAGCAGTTCGTGAGGTGTCCATGTGATACACTTGCTCCCAGCAGGCTGGGAGTCACAATATTCCGTCATAGCATCTGTGTGTGATTGAATAATTAACTTCTCAAGTACAAATGTTGTCCTGTCTGCCTTAGTGAGGGGATGTTGTGGAACTGCTCAAATTAAATATCTGTGGCAGAGGTCCTGGTTAAATGTGCCCATACCTTAGAGTTCTGTGTTCAAACCTTTCAATGTGTTCTGTAGAGTGTACTGTAGAGTTTATGAACATTTGGAATGATGGGAATGTGAATGTTTCTAGGACAGCTGCATCTGACATTTTTTCATTTTCCCTCCCCTGTTTTATGTTCAAATGTGTATGTGTGTGTAAGTATAATAAGGATGTGGCTGAGATAGTTCAACAGTGGTATGAATGTGTGTATGTATGTGGACAAGAATTAAACATACACGCATTGAACAAATTATGGTTTTTTGCTTGAAGACTTTACATGGTGCTGATGCTCATGATTTTTATTGTGCATTTGTTTCTAAACAGGAAGAACTCTTCTTTCTTGAGTGTACATAACATGAACAAACAGAAATTATGATCTGTTTATGTATTTAATTGTAAATAGTGAACATGAATTGCTGCAATAAAACAAACTTCATCAATCCAACAGAAGCAGTCATGCCTTGAAAAAAAATAAACATCTCCAGGAGTTTATCAGCATGGAACAATTGTCATACAAATCTCCATTAAATGCCCTAACCTTGGTTAATATAAGCCTCCAATAGTGCCTTCACCTTGTTCTCGGAGTTTCATTGAATATATTTGATGAAAGTTGTATCCACATTAGCCCATGCTCTTTATTAGTCCTCCAAGTGTATTAATTTCTTAGATAGGGTATGTGCCTTACCAACTACAAGTATGTCAATTTCCTTCAGTTTTATTCTTTACAGTAACCATTGTGTGTATTCTTCATTGTTTGTCAGTATTTTATTATAAAATTCAAAAGGCAGTCTTAACAAAAGGTAACAACATTGAAGTTAAGAAAGAAAACTGCAGGTAACATTTAAAAGTGCTTATTAAATAAGCCCTGTGGCAATAAGAAAGAAGAAATTATATTTCTTTGTTAACTTGTACTGAAACAGGCTGCCCTTATCCATTGTAATAGAAGTCATTCAATATCTGATGTTTTATTCATTCTCAGAGGTTTTCTTATTATTTCTTCTCATTAGATTAAGGGGATAGTGTAAACTGTGTTCATATTTGGAAGCAACACTGTTGTGTTTTAAGGTGTCTGTATACTGGGTTACAGAGCTGTAGAACCGAAGGTAAATTTTCTTTTTGTGATTTAAGGTAAAAACAATTAATGTAATAACATGTATTAGTGACGAGAAATATTCGTAGTTCCCTGTTACTAGCGGCACCGAAACTGACTCGCCCGTGACTCACGTGTTAAAGTCCCTCCTACGTCAACAGCAGCAGCCGATAACGCAATGTAAGCACGACCGTAAGCTCATAAATTGGAGACCCGGTACATCCCAGTAGACAGCCATCTTCAGACTCATGGCTGTGTAAACTACAAATGCTACTGTGTATGTTATGTATGTAAGGATATTTACATCCCAAATAATAGTCAAACACTACTGTGAGATAAATTTTTATTCCAAGAGTAATTGGGCTGTACATTACAATTGTGTTATTGGGGGAAGGCTGAATAACAAAAGCAGTTTGATTTGATATGTCTTGTAAGGAAAAGTAGTCTTTATGGAGATGTACAGAATGTAAGAACTGAATGGTTAGTGCTCCTTTATATTTGGAACATGATCAGTTCAATCAGCTAGAACACAAGCTATCCTGATTAATGGTTTTTGTGTGCTGGTTGTACACTCATCCCCAGACCAGGAAAATCCAGACTTTCCATCTGTGCCTAAGGCTTCCAAGTGGCTGTTCCTTTCAAGTTTCACAATTAAGATTTTGAATGCCTTTTTCATCAGTCCCAAGCATGATGCACGTCATTCCCATATATGTTTAGCCATTTAAATGGAAATACAAATCACAAAATTGTGCTTAAAAGTGTTATGCCAGAACTGCTAAAACGGAGTTGAATAGTGGAACTACATTCTTCACATAATTTATCATATTTTGATTTCAGAAACTGAATTTAAGTAATAGTATTATTTAATGTGAACTTTTATGCTAATGAGATTGGATAATTTGTAATATATTTATGATCGCTGTGTATCGCATTACTTTGGTATGTAATAGGCTGGAAAAATTTCATATTCAAATTTGCCTACACATCAGAATTAGAATAGTTTTAAAGCAGCGGCGCATAATGAGCTAGTATTTTAGTAATCGGAGGATATTTTGTGTTGAACACTTTCATCGATGGGCAGAAAAAGAGACAACTGGCATGCTTCTGTTGGCTGTTGGTTGCACTGCTACTGTACTCTGGGAGTCCTGGACAATTTCCTGTCGGCGCATGTTGTAAATTGAGGCTCTTGCGATAGGAACAGCGATTGTATAAGGACGCAATTTGTTATTGCGATAGAGTTTGGTTTTAGATTTTGCGCGGTTTAAACCTGCAGTACATTATTTAGTTTTCTAAAGTTCTATTGGGAGCAGTTTTAGACTTCACAATGTTTTGGGGTAAGTAACACCGTAAACGGAAATTTGAATGGCGACGCCATGTGGTAACTTATACGGAATGCATGTTAGGACCAACATGATTGGGTTTCTTTGTATCGTTCTGGTTTCCAAATGTAATATAATAATTGTAAATTGTACTGTGAAGTGTCTGTAACAATCTGTAAACATGAATGCCTACAATCAGATGTGATTTCCATTGTGGGACATTTTTTTTAGGAAAGATAGGTTTAGGATATTGCTTTGGAAATTATGATGTACTAGTTTTGTCCAAAACATGTAACAAGATGTAAGGGATATTCAGAGAAGTTATTTCGGAACAGACTCCGAAGTACAAATTTCATGAATAGCATTTCAGTGTATCACAGATGTATAAATGCTATGATTGATGGAACATGTAATTTCCCCAGATCTAAAAGTTCCCTACTTTATATGGGCGTTCAGTGACAATTGTGTTTAACATATGGACTGCAGGAGTAAGGGTAGGGGTATTGTTTACCTTGCCTCTCAGACCTAAATGATTTCGTTTTGTTTCCTTGTTCTAATTCTAAACTTCCCACTGATTTTCTGTTTTTTATTTTTTATATTTTGAAAAGAGAAGAGACTTCTGGGCAGGAGGATAATGTGACAGTTGATCTTAAAGAAATAGAGGAATGAGGCTATGCACTAGATTGGCCTTATATGATTTGAAGCATTCACAGTGACTAAGTATAATAAATTATTTGTGGGTACTGAATTTCAGTACCTGGAAGATGAGGACGAAGATTGTTCTCGAAACATTGGTGTTTCTTTCAATGCAACCACCTGAGACACCCAGTAGTACAAGAAGAATTCATTATAGACTGGCCTTCCTCAGGACAGGGTCCAAGAGTGGACTCTTGTAACATTGTAATGAACCTTCCAGTTCCATAATAGGTGGATAATTTGACTATCCTCACAGTCAAGCTTTTCAGGAATGCTTTTCTGCATGAAGTACCGGGTCTCCAATTTATGAGCTTACGGTCGTGCTTACATTGCATTATCGGCTGCTGCTGTTGACGTAGGAGGGACTTTAACACGTGAGTCACGGGCGAGTCAGTTTCGGTGCCGCTAGTAACAGGGAACTACGAATATTTCTCGTCACTAATACATGTTATTACATTAATTGTTTTTACCTTAAATCACAAAAGATGTTCAAAGTGACTTCCTTGTGCTTGCAAGCAAGTTTCACATCTCGTTAACATGTTTCGAAATATGCGACGAAGCTCTTCTTGGGAAATTGTCGAATATTTTCTTTTTGTGATTTAAGGTAAAAACAATTAATGTAATAACATGTATTAGTGAAGAGAAATATTCGTAGTTCGCAGTTACTAGCGGCACTGAAACTGACTCGCCCGTGACTCACGCGTTAAAGTCCCGCCTACGTCAACAGCAGCGGCCGATAACGCAATGTAAGCAAGACCGTAAGCTCATAAATTGGAGACCCGGTACATTGGTTTCTGAACAATGTTAGCTGGGTCCCTTGTGATTGTGATGTGGAATGTCATTGTAGGTGTTATGGGATTTTGTGTAGGGCCAACAGCACACCACTATTATTTTATGAAACTTCATAACAAAACCTCAGAATTGGCTGGATTGTTTGGAATTATTTATCCAGCATTTATAGGATGTGGGAGTTAGTCCAACTGCAGCTGTTAACACTAATGCCATATCTTCCATAAACTAACGGGAGCTGTAGCATACCTCATGCCAATATAAGAATATTTCAAAAGAATATTTTAGCTTTATCCCCTGTATTCTTTGTGTAGTAATAAAGACATAGAACACATCGATTAAGTATCTGTACCCCAACACTGAAGCCATGGCTAAAAAAATGCAAAACTTGATACATTTCATGTGAGTGCAGCAATAACAGTAATGGAAATAAATATTGCTGTTGAAATGTACAAGGAATGCTATTTTATATGGGATATGTGCTTGAGAATCCTTGGTTATGAAAGTAAGAAAATGCCATTTGAATATTTCAGGACCCTGTGAGGTTCATTTGACTGTTGATGTGTCATGAAAAGGAGAAAAATTTATTTTACAATGGAAAGGGAATTACACAGTTTAGGAATGGGTTTATTGGTAACAAATTTTCTTAAAACAGCAATTACTTTTAGTGTTTTGATGGCAAAGTTCCATAATTTGTCTTTGGGATTGGTTGGTATTTCTTTATGTCCGTGAAATTCTCAGCTGCAAGGAGTCTCGGATATCACAGACTCCTGATGAAGAGACTTTTAAATTAGTAGAAGAGAAGAGTGCAATCTGAAAGGTTCAAATGGTTAAGGTATGTAGCTCAATTTTTATAGGGTCTGCTTGGAGAACTGCCACTTGAAGATTGAGAATAAGATGGAATAAAATAAATGAACCTTTGGAATATAGGTTTGAGGGTGGGTAGGACTGGATCAGGAACATGTTCTTTGGTGAAATTTGTTACCATTGGTGTTCATCCTTCAGGTTCTGTTACTAGGGACTTGTTTCAGCAGTATTTGAGTTGAAGATGGCTGTTTTCTGGGTTGTAATGCCATATCTAGTAGAAGTTTGCCAACTCTTCAGAGGTACTTAACTGCCTCCATCTCTGTACTCACTGCTGTGAAAACTTCATTCTAACAGTGGATTTGTTCTGCTCATTGGGAGTTAATAATTTAGGTAACACTCCTACTTTTCTTTCGTCTTTGAATGGTTTTAAATGTGGAAATTCACACATTCTGCTTTAATCCATACAATTAGACTTGGTTCTAACTCTTTTTATTGGACAATATGAACATCATATATTCATCTTTTGCTTGCTCTCTGCCGTATGCCATTCTTTTTTGGTACTAAATCCCTTTTTCTCTTTTCTTAACTCATTCTTTTCTGTAGCTGTATTTGACACACTCAAAACTATAAAGTGGATTTTTCAGTTTCTTCCAGGTATTTTTAGATTTAGTTTATAAGTTTTTCCCTTTTCTTTTAGGACTGATTATGGAACCTGGCAAGCGCTACACTCAGACTGTCGAGAGAGCTTTCCATGTCTCGATGGCATGCCTTGAACCAACCACAGCAGATAATGATAATGTTTCTGTGTTGTTGGCATTTGAGAGCAGAGAGTTTATATTATGCAGTTTGAACAAACACAAAGTTGTACAGACACAACTAGATCTGAACTTTCAGAGTGGAGACAAGATTGCATTCATGTCTTCAGGAAAGGGGCGAGTTCATCTTACTGGTGAGTGCTGTATACTAACAGTGAGAAGAAGTCCCTTGTAGTTAGCCTAATTTTTCTGCCAATATATTTAGGTTTGGTTGTTCAGAAGTGAGAAAAGTTGTAGAGAAATAAGTTTTTTCTTGTGGGTGAGGGTTGAGTTGTTTATATTTCCTTTATTTTGCTTGAAATCCCTTTCTTATGAGTGTCATTTTGAGGACACCACACTGTGCAAGCCCCAGTATGTACACAAGCACTTTAACATTTATTTTAGCCTGTATCTCCTCTTGTCATTGTCGAATGTAGTAAAAGGGTCATGTTCCTTTTAATGTAATAAGATTTTGTTTAATCTGTAAATAAGGAGGGGGGCTAATGTTAATGCATGCATACACAGTCATATACAACAGTAAGAAGCATTAATGGCTCTGTTTTGCCTTGCAAGTATTTATCTGATGAATGCAGAATGTGTGATTAGTAGTTTTTCAGTTTCACTGAAATCCATACTAATTATTTCTAATAATATTGTTTGTGAATGAAGTTAACCTCAAGAGTGCAATCTTTGACAAAGTTCTGTGTGTTCATGAGCTGTACTTTTACAAAATATATGTGGTAAATTGTTTTATGCAGTTTGTGGGTGGAAGTGAAAGTGTGGTATGTCATAAATTAGGGAATACTAAAACAGATGTAGTTTAAAGTTAAAATAAAATCCCATTAACAAAAGGATTATTAGGTCACATTATTTATGACTCGTTGTAGTGCAGGCTGGCAACCATTCTGTTGGATTATAACACTGAAGGGGTAATTGCAAGAACCATTTTATTAGTTTGATTCAAAACACATTTCAATTCATTTATTAAGTAATTGTCCTTTTTACATGAAATGTGAATTTTGTTATTAATATAAGTAGTGTTTGAAATGAACATACTTGGAATGCTCTAAAACTACAAATTCATGTTCATGCTTTGTTGTAATAATATCACTTACAGGTTTTTGCTTTGTTGTAAATGTATCTTTTTATATTTCTGTTTGGATGAGTATCGGTTAGTGTTTGAAATTACTCCTGATTTATAGAGTTGGAGACTGAGCTGTGTTGTTTTCAAATGAAATGTTGAAGCAATACAGCTTTTGTGTCAGCACTGACCTGAGGTACTGACACATTTAGATGTTTCTTGGTATATTGTAATGCTTGCACACCTGATGTCTACATTAGCTTTACTTTTGTCAGATAACTGATATTGCCCATGAATGTTTCAGGTTATTTGCTTGAAACAGATGATGATGATGATGATGATGAAGATGAGGACGATGAAGATGATGAAAATGAACTGACCAACAATGAGGACAGCATGATAGATTCAGGTTGGCATTGTTAGTTTTGTTAGTGCCTGTTTTCTAATTAGAATGTTAGTACATTCCACTGGGATCTATACCTGCTCTGAATTGTTAAAGGTATCAAAATTGCTGGGTAGAATTTGTGGGGGAGAGAATGAGAAAATATATCTTGCAGTGTTTTTGCTTGTTAGAAGTTGAGTGGTTGTGCAGGTCTGTAAAGGAGTATATCACAAATACACTGAATACTGATTTCTTTGCTTAGAGTCTTCTGTGAAGAAAGTATCCAGCAATCTGCCTAAAGGAAGTGGCAAGAGAAAAAATGAACCTCGGTTGTCCCAGCCTGAGAACAAGAAAGTAAAACTTGAACTAGAAAGTGATGAAGGTATTATTATACAGATACTGCTTTGTGTTCGTTATGCTACTTATCATCCTCTTTCCCATAATCACATTTTATTTCATATATATTTATTTTCATTACAAATGCATGTCATACTACCAACTGAAAATTATGTGTTATGTGAATTAGAATGATAATTGAGGAAAGGATGTTTGAAATGTTTTTGTATTGAAAGTAAAAGTTGCATAATTTTCTTCTGACTAATATTTTACAATCAGTATACAGGTAGCCCTCGATTTATGCCGGGGATGTGATCCTGGACGAACGGAATCGGCGTAAATTGAAACTCTTATAATGTAAATCAATGGGGAGTCAATGGCATGTGTTCCCAGCACCCAAACATTGACTAGTAATATAATGGCATTACATTTAAATCTCTGAAATAATGTAAATAAAATAATGGGAATTTAAAACATATATATTTTATACACTTACAATCAGCAATTTGTTGGTCTCTGCAATTGACTGTGATTCTTTCATGTGATTGATGTGTACAGTCATCTCTGCTGTTATGCAATAGTTGCATTCATGTAGGACGCCAACCTATAGAAAATCGCGTAGTAAAAGTAACCCTGGTACCTCCGCAGAGATTAAATTAGTCCTTTGAAAGTTTAAAGCGCCAGGAATGAAATTGCATAACAGCAAACTCACATATGCAAAAGTTTGCATTTCACAAACAGCTTTTACCGATTCATCGACCTCATTGGAGTAAACTGGCATTAACAAAACATACGTAATTGCAGAGATGACTGTATTTATAATTTTTATTCAAAATCAGCAATGTAAGAATTACGATTTAGTATAAGAATCAACATGAGATACATTGTAAAACATTATAAATACTACTACTAGTACTATGGCGTAACAGCCTCCTCTTATAAATAATAGTAAAAAATATTTTTTTCACTTTTTGACTTGCTGGTTTCAAAATTGGCGTTATTCTGAATCAGCGCAAATTGAACTGGCACAAACCGAGGGCTACCTGTACAACAGTGTTCTTCTTCTAGGTATTTAAAGTGTATATGCTACTGAGATATTTGCTTTGCTACCCCTCTAAGGATAGGTGTTGGAATTCATGTATCGGGGACTGTTATGTACACACCAGAAGAAAATTCATATTGAGATTATTGTGCTGATGTGTTGTGTTGGACTTTAAACTTACAGATAAATTGTCATCTGATGATGATTTTAATTTTGCTGGTGACTCTGACGATAGTGAGAATGAGGATGAAGAGGAGGATGATGTTGATAATGATTTTCTGGATGATGATGATGAAGATGAGAGTAAGTAACTTCCTGGTGAACACCCCATACCAATATGGAGTCAACTCCATGCAGCATTCTTATTTGTAATTTTTATCTGTTATCACTGCTGGTGGAAGAGACCAACAGAAATTACCTTTAGTATTTGGAGATGCTGAGAGTTTGATGGTCAAGCTTTCTGTATCTCTTAATTGCTGATACAGTTGGAGGAAACAGTGTTGCCAAATCTACCCAGATTGAATCCTCAAATATGACATGCAACCATTACATTTATGTAAAAATTTCAGGAAAAATGTGCATGTTCTATTTGGAGAAATACTGTATGTGGCAGAATACGTTACATTGTATTCTAGTATGTTTCTGTTTTTGATAAACATAGCATGACATTAAATTTTTAAGTTCCATTATTCAATGATTGACAGTCCTCCTTTGGTTGTCCCCAACAGTTTATATTCTAAGTTGTAACAGTATCAGTGATTTCTTGCACCTTGCCTTATTTACAGGTGAAGATGATGTTGAGACCTCACCAAAACAGAAGACACCAGAATCAAGAAAAAAAGATAAGCAGTTAATAAAGACACCGACTGATATCGTGCAAAATAAGGTTGCAGTTGAAAAAGTGAAAACTCCAAATGACAAAAAACAGAAAAATGTATCCCTTGTTGAGAAGCAGCAACAAAAGAACAAGACACCCAATGAGAAACAGCAACAGAAAAATAAGACGCCTAATGAGAAACAACAGCAAAAAAACAAGACGCCCAATGAGAAACAGCAACAGAAAAACAAGACGCCCAATGAGAAACAGCAGCAGAGTGCTACTCCAAAATCTTCCCCTGGAACCCAAGTAAATGTAATTTTGCCTTGTGATTTTGCTCTGCATTCTTATGATACGGTCACACCCTGAAATGTCCCTAATTCCTTCCTCTGGTGATTTCTGTATTGTTATTCAAGTTATTCATGTCCTGTATAATGTCTTATAATTTTGGTACATTAGTCTGCAAATACGGTACTTCCCGCTCAAATTCAACTTCTGAATTATCACACTAAAAATGACATTACTTTTTGTACTTCTCCATCATGTTTAGACACATCTGTCCATGGTTTGTTTGGCTATGAGGTCTAGTCACAGGTCACTAAAATTGTTAGTTCATCATTCATATCTTCAGAGGTCTTCGTAATATTGCTTGATTTTTTTAAAAATTAATTTGTAAGACACAGTACCTTGAAATAGGCCATGATTGCTGTATCTTATGTGCCAGTCATGATCATACTGTCATTTTGCCATCTCATAACTGCATTGTAGCATCAACTTTATCTCTTGTCTGCTGCTGCTGTCCTACCATTGTTGCAAGGTTGCATTGCATACCCAGTAACGTGTCTTGGGAAATTTAGTTCTCTTTAATTTCTTTGCATTGTCACAGCCATCAGAACTGACTGTTTTATAGTATTATATGTGTTTTTATGAGTTTTATTACTTACACATCTTTTTATACTATACATTGTGCCTATTCCTTTTATGATTCATCTGTGGATATCAAATTGAAAAGGAATTTGTCTTGTTCTGTCACAGGATTGGTATTTAATTCATTATATTGCCCGGTTGTGTAACAATTCTTATTCTTCCTGGCTTACATTCTTGGCCACTCAGGTATAATCTTTATCCCTCAGTACACCTTAGATGTTCTTTCGTTGTGCATTCCCAGTGATTCCAAAATGTGAGAAGGCTTGCTGTCTGATCAAGAACAGTATGTTTTCTAATGTGGGGTAAATTTAGGTTTCAATCAGACATTTTAATAGTGAATATTTAGGCATGGTTTTATGTGGTGTACTATATCGAGTCACTCGTGTCAAGATTATAGACTGAGTTCAGTTGGTGGCACCAAGTGGCCGTAGTTTGTGGCTACTATCGACATACAGTTTCTCAAAGTAGTAAAAACAGATAAAAAAAACCTACTATATAGAATAAACATTACATTAAATGAAGACCGAGTTTATTAATTTTCTTTGGATTATTAAATGCACGATACAATAATGAAACTTGAGACCTATACCCGAAATATGTTAAACCCCCCCAAGTGATCTGCTGTTCATGTTTCAGAATGTAGTGGGGGAACTGAATGAAATTGTACAATTATTAGTACTGAAAATTTTCATGTGTTAATGTATTTTATTACTAGGGATTATCACCCCAGCAACAATCTGGGAAGAAGAATAAGAAAGGACAGGAGACCCCAAAGGGAGCTAAAACACCTGGTGCAGATACACCTCAGAAGAAGGTTCTTGAGGGAGGAGTAACTGTTGATGAAGTCAGAGTAGGCAATGGTCCTGTTGCTAAGCCAGGCAGAGAGGTGAGTACTTATGAATTGTATTTTGCATAGCTGCCTTGTTTCCCTTCTGCCTCTTTAAACCTGCAAACAGCTGACTGTAATAATAAGTGTAATTGTGTTGTGGTTGATTGCTTAACAGGTGACAGTATATTATATTGGGCGTTTGAAACACAACAATAAGCAGTTTGACTCCACTACTCAGGGGTCTGGTTTCAAGTTCCGGTTGGGCCGTGGTGAAGTGATAAGAGGCTGGGACATTGGTTTGAATGGAATGAAAGTTGGTGGAAAGAGGAAGATTGTTTGTCCTGCTACTATGGCGTAAGTAATGCAGTGACCTCTGAGTTTACATTTCTTTTGGTTCCTATACATTTGCATTGGTATTACTTTCTTTAAATTTGTTTCCAGAAGGAACCACCAAGAATTATAATTCATATTACATTTTAATGTGTGTGCAGAAAATTCTAGGCATTATCATGAAAATTTTTGGTACTGTGATGACCTGGCACGTGGGATGTGTGCAGGCCTGGGCCAAGGAATTATTTGTATTGATTTTCTTTTCTTTGCCTTTCAACATTTTCAGAAGTGTTAGAATTGTCATGAAATATTGTGGCTTCTGAGGGAGATGTAATTTTCATAGTTTATTACATCAGAATCCCTTTGGTTTGTGTCCACAAGTCTGTCTGATGATAAGGCTGAATGTTCATTTCTGTTTGTGTTCTCAATTTATTTTTGGTAAATAAAATTCTGCCAGGTAATTTGCAACACCACATCTAATTTTAATTACATATTGCCAGTCACATTATATGAGCTGTGGTATACATCAGCAAAATTGCATGATAAGCATCACAGCCTGTACTCCTCACCTGATATTGTTAGGGTGATTAAATCGAGGAAGATGAGGTAGGTGGGAACATGTGGCATGCATGACTGAGGGGCGCTTACAGGGTAATGATCAGTAGGTGTGAAGACAGGAGTCTGCTGGGAAGACCTAGATGTAGGTGGGAGGAAAACATTAAGATGGACTTTAGGGAGATAGGAATTGATTGAGCAAACTGGAAGCAGCCCAGTGGTATGCTTTGGTGAACATGGTGATGAACTGGGTTCCATAAAGAAAGCAGGCTATTATTTGACAAGCCAAGCATACAATTAATTTTTTAAAGAACTTTCTGCACTATAAAGTGGGTGTACACCAGCAAAATAACTAACCATGGGCTAGAAGGCCAGGGACCACAGAGAATTTTGGAATGTTTTCCCACAGTTGAAGTGATCAGAGCATGAGGCTGACTTCACTTCTCTATTTGTTGCCAAGGTCTAGAATATGTGACTTCATCTCCATATACCATATATAATCCACATGATAGTTGCAGATTTATCATTGTTAGTCACTGATTTTATTTTTCCTCTCATGCAGTTATGGTGTCAAGGGCTCACCCCCAGCCATCCCACCAAACAGCACACTGGTCTTCGATGTTGAACTCAGAGCAGTGAATTGAGTATCATAATGCAAGTGACTTAATTAAATCTGCATATTTGTGAATGGAAGAGTGCAGTATAAAACATTGGTATATCCTCTTTATGTAAAATGATAGGATGGTACTGAAGGCTGATAAAACTCTCATGTGTACAGAACTACAACTTTATTCAGTTTGTTTCATACCCACTAACATTTGACATTATTGATGTACACTAACAAACTTGTATGTTCTTATGTTATGTGCTATGTAGAAGTTGAAACTATTAATAAAAGACATTTTATATACATGATATACTACATGTTGCATATTTAACCTCTTAATTTCATTTAACTAAGACTATATAGTTCAAAATTACTTGATAATAAGGAATGATATAAGTTTCACATAAATATTACAGAGATTTCTTTTTTCCTTCAGTTGAAACTGCACAAGTATCATTCTCTTCATTACTCTCATCTACATTCTTTCCTGGAGACACCATATTCTCTGTCTTTGTCTCTACTGCCTTCCATGGATTCCAGAACTTTAACACAATTGGCTGAATGTACCGATGCCAGATGAAGAGGAGGAATGGTATCACAACGCAAGGCACACACACCATGGCTGAAAAACCAATTATACTGTCAATGTTTGAAAATGACTTTGTTGGGGAGCCTGAATCATTCTTCATGCTGACAGTATGAATATGTGGAAGAAAATTATGTACAATATTCCAGACTTAAAATAAATTGATTAAATCACATATTGTTTTTACTTCTGTTTTGGATTTTTAGATTCTGAATATCAACTTCAGCTTATCAAAATATATATTGTACATTTGCTTCAATGTGGAAATATGAAACTTTTCTAAAATCTTCAACACTAACATCTATGAGAGAGCTTAAATAAATGTGAAATAAAAAGTACAGGTCTCATGTATGTTGTACCAATTTCCAGACAATCTTTCCCACCCTAAATATAATATGAACACAGTTAAGAATTTATTTAGATGTAAGGTATATCTTACAAACATCACAACCGAGTATTATTTTGTAGTTGAAGAACATAATGTCGGGAGTTACATGAACTGAGTTTATTCAAATGATTTGAGATATGAATTAAAGCTTTAGTATGTATTTATATTAATAGCATTGTCATCTGGATTATATAATGCTGGAATCTTGATTATTTATAAACCATACATCCTGCTCTGTAATCCAGCAGTATATAGGATGCAATAGGTTTGTTCAAAACATTTAACTCAATAATATTACCTGAAAATGATAACGGAAGTTTAAATGTTTCCGTTTTAACGTTTGTTCCAAGAGTGTGTCATTTTCAAACAAAGAACTGGCGTACTAAAAATCTAATGTCATACTTGCACTTCTAACCTTACAGTAGACACATCTACCACACCACAGACTAATGTTTATAACAGTGACCAGAGATTTCAAAATACTGATAAACGACCTTACAACACCACAGATATTAACCAAGTAGGTGCCATTTACGGTCTATGCCGTGTATTGCAGAATGTCGTGTTTCTTGGTAATGTTGGTATCTACCTATAAATACTTAAGGCATTATTGACAATAACTTTAATTGTAAAACATTTTCAGAACACAAATTCAGTGTCTGAACTAAGCTCAGCAAGCTTTACTATGAAGCCTGTCACATCACTCATGAAAACAGAAACTTTAAAATTAGTCTTCTTTGCGCACTTCCATTTGATTATGTCATATGGAGATGGATGTGCTCTGGGTTGTAGCGCCGTGTAGTCTGGTAGAAGTTTGCTAATGTTTCAGAGGTCCTTGCTGTCTCCAGCATCAGGGCGATCGCATCACTCTTCGTCCTGGTGATGGAGTCAGCAAGCATCTCTGAAACATTGGTAAACTTCTACCAGATTGTGTGATCTGTGGCTTTCACGGCGACTGAGTTTAATGAATGACTCTCGGGCTACAAGCCACGTCAGGTTGTTGTATGAATAAAACACCAACGTTTCGAGAAAAATTTATCTCAACCAAAAATTCTCAGCTGTTATAAAAACATTCAAGCAATAGTGCGTATGTTATTTTTTGTATCTTGTGTAATTATTTTTGCTGTAGTAATATAGTTGACTGTACATTATTGTCATAACTATGTAATTTTATTTGTATTATAAACAAGTAATGTACATGCTATAACACGTTCTACAGCCTTGTTTTGGTCCTGTGAATGATCTACGTGAGAACCAAAAATTTCACATGTGCCTAATGTTTTGATAGTGACTATACAACTAAAGTAGTCAACTTGTTAGTTTATCTGAATCAAAGAATCGAAAGTATTGTCATTATTTGTATTTAATAATTTATTATTTTTGCTTATTTTACGTCCGTAATTCGAGATGAATAAAATTTGATAGTACTAATAGTGGTTTCTTGACCATCAGTGACTACTGATCAGAGATTACAAATATCTACAAATGTTGCTGAGGTATCCGTAAATAACGTGTTAGTAATTTGTCTTTGGTAACGTAAGATCGTCTTATTTGACGAGAAATTTATGTATTCCGTTAAAGGTCATTCGGAAAGGTATGCATGTCAAAAGCCAGCTAGTAAGTAAGGGATACTGATCGGCTTGATAGGGTTTATACCATTAGGCAGGATTAGTATACGCTGCCAACAAACCCGAACGCCGTGATCTTAACCTATAACTTTGGATTTTAAAACTTTGTATACAAAATTAGCATTTGCCTGTCCATATATGTAGGAAGTAACGTATCGCAAGGCCGTGAATTTTGAAACAAAACAAAGTTATACTCACACTTAAAACAAATTATTTAAGTTATCACAAATTATTACATATTTGTTCTGATCTATGTTGATCCTCCTTTAGGCTGTGCATAAAACATGGATAAAACGAAAGAATGGCAAATGGAGTTACTGATGGAGAAACTGCGCTCAAAAGCTGGACAATTTAAGTCATTTGTGGAAAGTGCAAAGGCACTAAGGATGTCGATACTGGCAAGTATTTCTTCTCATACTTCACTACCTTAAAATAAGATTATTTCAGATTTTAGGTTCTGGTTGCTTCGTTAAATTTGCAGTTCATATTAGGAGAATGTTTTAGGACAGTGGACTACAACAAGACAACTGCACAAAATATTTTAGTCTAATATACCAGAATTATGTGGGTGGGACAGGTGGTGAACAGCTGACCTCAAAGAGTGGGAGATTTGAATGGCAATGGTTAAGACAAGTTTGTACCATGACCAGCACAGATTTTATGATAATTCTTGTCTGATAGTGTGTTAGTACCAGTATTTATTTGTCTGAATTAATGCCAGTACATGAATTGTAGAATTATGCACTGATATTGTGTTGGGTGAATAGTTTGTGAAGTAGTAATGCTGTGAATTACATTTTATTCTGAAAACATCCCTCTTTATGTGTTAGAAGTATACCTGCATATGTATGTTTGTTTATGTTTTGTTTAGGTTTTGTTAAAGAAGTAAATTGCACATGAAGTGCAGTTTGTTCTATCTGTTTTCAATTAGCTTTCCATACCAATGTTCTATCAGGTTTAAAGCAGTAATAAATTGAGGTAGAGTTTGTGAGATCTAAACACTCTTCAGTACACCACTGTTTTACTGTTCTGAAGTACTGTGCATTGATTTCAGAAGGTATGATGTAAATGAAAGGTGAAGAATTTAGTCTTAATATTTCTGTGTGTTCAGTTATGGAAATAAGGAACATGTTTTTGTTTGCCCTATGACATTGTATTCACAAGTATTCAGGCACATGCATGGCCATGTATTTTTGCTGTACAGTTCTGGGAAAAGTATGGAATAGGGGATTTCCATTGAGTATGATGATTTTATTTAAGGAACCAGAAATTGGATTGAAGGCATGGTTGAGTGCAAGATGTTGGAAGTTCTCTGTGGCTAAACCCCCTCTTGTGCTGAGGTCAAGGATGAGCAGGAATTCCACCTAATCCCCCAATAAGTGCCTAGTGGGACAGGTTTACTTTTAAATTAACTGAAATTCTCAATACATTGATGACCATATGAATCAAGAAATAGTAAAACTTATGGCTTTGAGTTTCACGCAGGATCCTGTACAATAGGTTTATATGGAAATATCTGGGACACCACTTACCTTCATTTAGTTCCAAGGTCTAGAATATGTGGAGCTGTCCTCTATTCTGCAGATGCCCATTAATGTATTATTTTAAAATAAATCTTAACTGGCTGTTATGGTTGAGTGATTAGCATTAGCTTTATATTCAGGAGGTCCATGTTCAGATCTTGGCCTGGAGACCACCTATTCTGATTGAAGTTTTTGTGATTTTCCTCAGTTCCTCTAGGCACACGTCAATTTAGTACCTTGAACTAGGCCACAACTGCTTCCTTCTGCATCATTTCCAATGAATGATTTACTATTATCCTTTAATTTAATGCTGAAAGTGTTGTTAAATAAATTATAAAAAATTGAAATTATTTCAAAATGGTAATACTGTGTCAACTATATATCTGAGTATTGTTTTAATTTTGTTTTATTTTACGATGCAGGAAAAGAGGTATCCAGTGGATAATGTGGAAAGGAATCAGCTTCAGAAATGTTTAGACATCTTGCAGCATTCAATCAAAGTTACTTCATTGCAAGGGATGGTAGAGCGTCTTGAAAGTGTTACAAGGCAACTAGGGTATGTTACCACTCACATCTGTCTTGAGTTTGCTTGAACAATGACATCATGATAATTGAATGATTATCTTTGGATGCAGTTGCAGTGAGTTTCTTTGTGAGTTAGGTTGACATTTTTTGATGTCCCTGGCAGAAGAGTTGGACACATCTCCTGTAAAGTCATGCCGATGAAATTTAGACTGTTCATCGAACTGAGAAACCTGCAGTCTATGTTCTCTGTTTTTCCATTTCCATTTGTATCACCACTTTTAAAGTTTTATGTTCATTTGCAGTTTCTTTGGATGATTTTGAAACCCTGATCTTATGTGCAAGGCATCTGAGGGATTTGTGAGAAGTATATCTGATTCCAGCACTGATTTGATTAAATTTCTCTTTGGTGAACACTTGATATTTTGATTTGGTCTTTATGTCCTGTAATATCCATGCATGTGTTAATTTATTTATCATTTTATGAATAGTTTTCCTACATGGAATTGTAACATTTCTGAAATTTATGCTGGAATTTTATTTATTTATTCCCTCCCCCAACCCCCAGAACCACATTTCATGTAGTTATATTACATGAACATCCATTATTTCAACGTGTCACACACTTTGCACTTGTACACAGGAAATAATAAGACAACTGAATAAATGAATGTTTATTGCACAGGTCAAGTGCAGTAGCAGAATTTAAGGCACTGTGGGTATCAGGAGATACAAGTTGGCCATCCCATAAATATATAAATTTGCTTCTTATCCATACACTTCAGAAAACTTTCTTTGAGAGAAGGAAAGAAGGTTCGTTTTTGCTGAATTGCTTATGTACGTGTTCATTTTGTAGGTTAAAATTTTCACCTGGTGGATCACCACTAGACTGGTTTATATCATCAGATATGTTCTATCTGGAGGTGATGTTAGAGTCAACAGGAGGAGTCAAAGATGTCAGGATTCACCATGAAGGCAAAGTTGAACAACAAGTAAGTATGTACTAACATTAGCAATGCTGTTGTATAATGTAACAGGAAATAAGCAAAGTTTCATTCCAGAGCTTATGGCATTGTCAGTGCTTCAGTCTATATTTATCCTAGTGCAGATTTTATTACAAATTAAAATCTTTTTGAGCTATTTCTGTGCATAACTTTTGCTGGTATATATTGCAATTGCCTGAATGTTTCCACACATCACATCAGAGTTTTACCCCAGTCATACTTGTGATTTATACTTACAAAAAAGTTATTTTACAAAGGTTTCAGACATATCTATACAGATTGATTATTTTGTTAAGACTGTAAACAAAAAATGTAAGAAATTAAGCTGGAAAGTGCAGCTAATGGTTTTTTTCTTTTGGAGGATGAGGGAGTGGTCAACTGAGGGGTCATCTGGCTTTTACTATTCGTACTTAACACTCTTCATCTTCATAGTCATCATCAGTTTGTGGATTAGGCATTTATGGCTCTACCAACTTCAGATCTCTTCAGGTGTCAATATTGACCATCTTTTTTATCTACTGACTTACACTGAATGGCTGATTTAGGCAGTTTTGTTTAATTTATTCTTGATTATAATTTGTATTCTGTGTCAGTAAGTGAGCATGTGTGTCGAGTATTATCATAAGGAATATATGAATACAGCCAACTGTATTTAATAAGTGGAACACTTGGCTTCTGTAATTTTCAGATTTGTTGTCATAGGTTTGATAAATGTGAATTTGCTTAAAAAAGTGTATTTGTGATAAACACTGAATACTGTCTTTTTCAAAATAAACATTCAGTTAATTTTTGGACTTATATTTGCTTTGTGTATTTATTTATTCTATAAAATCAGTATATTGTTATGTCTTGAGTTTACTTTGTATTTTCATCTACAGAGTTGCGAAGAACTTGTGTCATGTCTATCAAGAGGAGATTTTGCTGACTTCACAGCACAGTTAGAAGGATTGGCATCCATCTATCAATTAAATGCTGAAAAGAAAGTGAAATGCAAGGCATTTAGTGCATTGCAAAGTCTGGAAGCTGATTTAGGGACTCTTGCCACACTTCAGTCTTTTATCAAGGAACCTTTCAACTTGGTTCATAAATCCCCTGTTGGAATTTTAGAAAAGAGGCGTGGAGGTATGTTTATTTATAACAAAACATTTTTATGGTTTTAGGACATTTATTATCCCCAGTCATTCAGTGATACATTTTTGCAATTGAATATTCTGGATTTTGTTCTCGGTTCAGAATCTGTCATCAAGTATGAAGGTGATTGTCTTCTGAGATGTTGAAATGTGTGGTCTGGTAGAAGTTGACTGATGTTTCAGAGGTGGTTACTGCTTCTTTTATCAGGATTACACACTTCTGAAATGTTGGTCAACTTCTACCGGATTACATGGCACAACATCCCAGAAGACAGCCATATTTTTGTGTATATTGAAGTTTGTAACAAATATTACAGGTCATGCCATGAAGCTAACCTATTTGGTACCTCCATATGATCTACTAGACCAGCAAACAAATTCATCACTGTCTTTATCAGTGGAGGAAGTTACTTCACGAAACCTTGGTTACAGTGTTATGGTGTGTTTGGAAGGATCTGCGGCCCACAAATTGCAGACTACTGCTCTTATTTCTGTTAATCGTAGTCCCAGTGGCAAAAGGTAATGTTAAAAATACCACAGATATTTAATTATGTGATAGCCTGAGCTTGAATAATTGCACTGAAATTTTAAGTAGTGGCTTTCATATTTGACAGTAATATGGAACATTTTATGATTTACCTGTGGCCATTGAAGGATAGGTTGTTTGATTGTACCATTTGTACTTTGTCTTGTAACAAAAATGGTATTCTAAAGGCATGTGTCAAAACTGCTTTACATGGTTTCCAGAGTATGTATAGACTGGTACTGAACTAAGTGTAATTATTTTACAGACATAATCAAGTTTTTTACTGGTTACAGTGGTCACACAGTTCAAGGCACGTACACTCTTGGACTGCTCAAATACTGGGATTATGGGCTGATATCCTACTTGAGTCAGGAGTATACATCATTGTGTACTGTATTTTGCTGCCCAGTCTTGCATTTTCCATATTTAAAAGTTTCAGTTAGTGACTCTCATGTCTTAAATTTGTGTATTTTATGGTTAGTGATGTGATCTTTAAGACATCTTTTGTTTCCACCTGTTCTTCTATTTTATATTTGTCTTTCAAGGATCAGTTAATTGAAACATTAAATGGGTATTTTATCTCTAGGTGAATAAAATCCTCATAAATTTTTTGTTTACATGATATACATGCATGCATACTGATTGGTTAGAAAAGTAGTGTAATTGTTTATCCTGCAAGTCATACTGCCTCTGTATCTACCAAGCAACTGTGGATTGTGACCTCTGGAATCTTAATGACTATTATGTTGAGTAAGAAAATTCCTATCGTGGAAACTGAACATTCAGAATTATTGTCCTAAAATCTTTGTTATGTCCATTTTAATACCTAAGAATTGTATTTAATGGCTGTAGTTATCACTGTGTTGTAAATTTCTTTGGTGTTTTTATTATTCAAATTCTGGTTATTGTCATTCGTTGTTACTGCTGGTCTGTATTTTGATTTTATTGCCATATTATTTCCTTCTTCCATCACCTGTATCACAATTAACATTATGTAATCATTTTTATTTTGTATGTATATAATCATTGTTATATATACATTTCCAAGTAAGAGAATAGTGAATTTGAATAATGTTTGTATTTTAAATTGTAACTATACTGTCTGAAGTGGTGGAAGAAATTATCTGTTCTCCAGTAAACTCGCCAAGAAAATTCAATACATAAACCATTCAGTTTCTACCATCAATTCATAGTTTTACTGTTTCATGTTGTTAGCACACCTCTTTATGCATCATTGAGTGCTGCCAACTCTGCAACACTGCCTGCCTGCTTTGTTCTACGCCTTAACAATCCAATGCCTATGTGTTTGAATCTGGTGCGTCGAATTCAGCAAGTCACTGAGATGGAGTGTGGAGACCTTTCTACTCCACATCCATTGCTGAGTCTTGTGACTCAACATGCATCAGCTGGCCAGTTGGATTGTGCCAACAACCGAGGACTCTTTGTGGTAAGTTTATACTATATGTACTTTTTGGGATGCATCTGTAAGCTATGAAAAGTTTATATTAGCCTTGCCATGTCTGTCCACACGTAACAACTTGAGAAAGGCTGAATGGATTTTCTTGAAAGTTGATATTGGTGAGTTTTATTGATATTTGTCACATTGCAATTTTGGTTAAAACTAGACAGTGGTAATGTATGCCCCTGCATGCAGAAATGACTGGTTGCAAGTACCCAGGCTGCCTTGGTTACCATTGTTACCTTGGGAATCCCCAGCCAGTTGTGTGACGGCATCGTGGAGTCCTCCATGACATCAGCCTGCAAACAGGGCCAGACACCTGACTCATGTGAAGGTCATTGATCTTAGGCAACTGCTGCCAGTCATGTAGGTTATTCTGGCAAACATGCCAGAATTGTTATGCTATGCAGATATTTCCTAACTTTTTAAAATAAATGTGCTGATACTGAGGTGTATTAAGGTGGGAGGGAGATAATTTGAAAGTTTCTGTAAAACTTTATAATATATAAATCAGATAATAGTTCATCCATATTTTAACCTCTTTTTTTTCCTTTTTTTAAGTCAGATTGTGAGTTGCTATGATATTTATTTTCCCAGGGTTGTGTTCAGACATCTGACAACTTTACCATACAACTGATGTTCTGTACCAGCAACCAAAGCCACAACACTGCTATGCAGTAATGACCTTTCAAACCTAAAAAAGCACTTGCCATGGCAGTTCACAGTCTGACAGAACTGCAGTGCTATTTTTGTGCCACTTTGTACATAACTGAAATTATTAAAAGTTTGGCTTAAAAATATACTACAAGGATTAGAATGTTATAATGAATTAATCAGGTTACAACTTGTGCAGTGGACTGTACATTTCTGCTTGTTCTTGCTTTGACCTCAAGTATACATATTGCACAGTAATTACAAGTAAACTTATATTATTTTGGTTTTATTTAAAATCTAGTTATTTTCAGTTGAAAACTGATTTACATTTAACCACTTTCATTTTTAGCACAAGAGTTTTGGTTTTCATTTTGTTAATAACATAAGAATTTGAAGTTGCTGGGGTTGCAAATCTGACTGAACAAAACTACTTGCTGGACAGGAAACAGCCCCATTCAGCTTCATACAGCAGTGTTGTGCCTGCCAAGGACCATCATGAGGTAATTACAAGTAAGTTAAGCAACTGAAAATCTTAGAATGAATTAGAAAATCTAAATTAACTTTAATGAATTTTGTATGAGAATTGAATCAGTAACATTTGGAATAAAATCAGAATAAAACATGATGGAAATTTACTTGTAATGATCACACAACACATTAGTTCAAGGTCAAAGACTGAGCAGAAATGTATAATCAATTACTTAAGTTATAACGTAACTAATTCATTGCATTATGAGAATGGATGAAGTTGATTACACTGCTATTTGTGGATGATACGATTTTCATCTCTGTCACAGAGGATAATATTTTTACACCAAACAGCACAAGTACTTGTAATGAAAATTTAACCTCAGAAAACCAAAATTATGGTTCTGTGGGCCTTGAACCAGTAAGAAGCAGAATTGATAAAGATAATGCAATATTGGACCGAGCAAATGTTTCACATGCTTGGGTTGTAACATTCAGTACCAAGAAGAGAAAGAAAAGATTTCAAAATCAAAGCATTTCTATAAATATTTGGACTTCTAACAACATTCTAAGACTGAATTTAGTTCAGAAAGCATGAAGAATAAAACATCGGCCCTTCCATTATTCCTCTATGGCTGTAACATTTGGGCTTGGAGACAAGACTTAATGAATATGAAACTGGCTTCAACAGATCACCAAGTAGAAGACCAGGGACTCCAAAAACAAATTTTAAAATACCATCTGACATGAAGAAGACAACTGATGCCCTTGTAAAAGACAGTTGGATATCATAAGTGCTGAGACCAAAATGGGCTAATCTTCATGATTGAATGGTGCTGACTTAATAAAGTGAAATGAAGTTTGCACAGTCATTTCTCTGTTTATGCATTTTTGTTTAAAGCAGTCGATGTCTGTGTAATGTTTCTTCATTTACGTTGTTTTGGGTTACAACTTACTGCCATTACAGAATCAGTAATAGTCAACATATCAAATGATTAAGTGACATTCATAGAGACAATATTTCTTAAAATATTAACAAAAGATCTGAACCAACTATATAAACATTATACAGGTATTGTTAATCACCTGGGAGTTAAACCCTTGTATGGAAAATTAACTCTCCATTTACAAAGCATTTTTAAGGAATGCATCTACTGTGTAAATTTAGAAATGGCTGTATTTCAGAAGTGGTTTTGACATGAGTTGTGTTATATTCTGCTTTAGAGTATGAAACTTTGTTAGTACTGTACACACATGTAAGATGTTCTTATGTTGTTATGCTAACTGTGAATTTTTGTAATTCCAATCCTAATTCTATAAAAGGATATTCATTTTTGTTGCTGCATTAATCCTAGTTAATTCATATTTTATGTTTCTTTGCATCATAACTTGCACATAATGAGTGCACAATAGAGGTGTGATGTTTATTCATTGATCTGTTCATCTGCTTGTTTCATTTCTGAACCACTTTGAATAAATTTGGTATGGATGAGTCTTGTAATAGGTGTGAGGTGTATATAGCTCTGTTCTGTATTAACTGTGCAACCTGATTTTTATTTGAAGTGCAAAACTAACATCATATTTATCAAAGGCACTTCCATCATTCAACACATTAGTATGTGATTTTTTTTTAAATTTCTTAACCCTTTGATTGCTGAACATTTCATAGCTCGCTGATTCTAGTATTTTGGGAAAATAAATACTTTTCAAATGTTTGCTAAAGATGGCAGAGCATATACAGTTTGTCAGTGACTGCATAAATCTCATTAGGAGAAAATGTTATGGACTGGGAAATCTCAGGTAGTGTGGTATGGTATGTACTTGTATGGGATTTCCAGAATGTAGTGTAGGTCTGTAACTTGTATTCGAGATGTTCTTCAGTGTGGTGTATATTGTATAAACTATATAAAAAAGTAATATATTGCTGTGCAACCTAACATTAAAACCAGCGAGAGATGAACAGTCTTAAATAATTAATTTGAAAATTGTGTGCTCAGAAATGGAATACACCATTCTTCTGTCGTTAATCTCAGTCTCATGAACATTGTACTGAAAATTATATTGAGTGTCCATTGACTTTATGTCAGTACTTCAGGACCTTGTTTCTGGAATCATTCCCAGTCAGAAATGTCATACAAATGTGGGTCCACTGCTGAGCAATAACACAGCTATGGAAGTTTGAAATTCAGGATGATCTGAACTTTTAAAAGGAAAAACAGGGTTATTCAACATCAAAAATTCAGTTGAGTAGTTTGTCTCATCTGTTTAATTTGTAATCATAATCATATTTTTCATGTAACCTCATACATGGATATCTAGCAGAGTGAAATCTGGTGACCATATTGGCCATTTGTGCAGAGATCACAATCAGTCTGGGAACTGTTCATTCAGGTAATCCATCACATGTCTACTGAAGTGTGGGGTGTCCCATTGCGCTGGAAGTACAACTGTAAACACATTGTATGTCCAAATAATTTCGATGTTATGTACTCGTCTACGTAACTGTAACCCATGTTTGTATGACATTTCTGACTGGAAGTATTGTTAGGAATAAGATCTAGAAGTATTGACATAATGTAAAGTGACTTTCTGTATCTATGAATGAGGGTTTAGGTTTTGCAGATGGTGAAATATGTCTTGTATTTATTTACCATTGTTTTGAAGGAACCTTTTGCCTCCTCCTGTAGATGGAGGTAATGTTTTCTTTTGAACCATTGGTAACCATCTACATGGCATCATAATCCAGGAGACCACAGTTCAAATTATATTGATATACATTCCAAGGGTTAAGTTTGTGTACTCAAACTTTTATGTGGCTAGTAAACAACTGATTTATGGTTAATACAGCTTTTGGGAATAAAAGTGTGCAGAATATGTAAATAAAATCAAGACTGCGCTTCTACTTATATTTTAGTCATGTTGTCTTTTAACACACTAGTGCAATGATATGCTCCTTTGCTCTGTTTGATCTTTCTGTATAACTAACAAGTGTTGACCCTGCAATGAAACGCTATATTTCTTTCCTTTCAGACATTACCTGATCAGCAGCATTGCTTCTTCATGACTGAGAGCAAGAACCTAGAGGGAATTTTGGTTTCAAATATCCCTTTTTTACATCCAGCTCATGTTCCGCAGATCCTCATGCTATTACGACAGCAGGCTTTATTTAATGTTCTTGTCTCAAGTTGTATCAGGCCAGCCAGCAAGCATGGTATGTTCTACTGTAGTTTTTATTT